GTGGGGGAAATATGAGTAATAGATGGGACTGAGGAGAAGGCAGTGCTTGCACACTGCAGGAGAGACATGGAGACCAGGGCGAGCATGAGGCAGACTTGGCGGGCAGGAGGGCAAGGTGCCAAGGCAGTCCTTGCATAGCCTCTGCCTCCAACCCCAGGACGACGCGGATGTGGAGTGGAAGTTTGCTCGCTCCAAGCTCTACCTGTCCTACTTCCGGGAAGGCCTGACACTGCCTGTGCCCTTCAACATCCTGCCCTCTCCCAAGGCCATCTTCTACCTTCTCAGGTGATGAACTCAGAGCTCTCATTCCCAACCTCCCAAGCCCCCAGCACCCTAGCCCAGCTCCTGCCCAGTTTCCTACACCTGTTCCCTGACCAACTGCTGTCGGCCTCCTGAATCTCTCAGGAGAATTTTCTGCTTCATCTGCTGTTGCTGCTCCTGCTGCAAAACCAAGAAGCCCGACTACCCACCAATCCCCACATTTGTGAGTACCTAATCCGTCGGTGGTCCTTGTCACACCGGGCCCTCAACGATATTATCTACACCACCTGTTTGTCTGCACACCCTTGTCTGTCTTTCCAGGCATGTTCCCCAGAAAGCCAGCTCCCAGGTCCTCCTCTAGCACGTGGCTGCCTTTCCCTCTTCCTGACTCTGGCCATTTTCTAGATTTCCAACAGTGGGTCACCAGCTTAAACAGAAATCCACGCCACCTTGCTCCCAAGCCACCAACACCCTGTTCAGCTTAGACCCATCCTGCAGGCTTAAGCAGCTGCCCGAGCCTCTGCTGAACCACAGAAGGATCAGGAAACCCTTACTCCCCAAACAATCCTTTTCAGTATTGTATTATTACTTTTATTACACAATCTTTTTGCCTTTTCTAAGGGAAAAAAGCTCCAGCCTTCAGACAAACCTCTTTACCCTAAACTGAGCAAAGACACAGATAACATTAAAAAAAAAAAAAAGTTAAGAAACCAAGGAACAAATGCCCCACAAACTGGGAAATTAAATGGCTGATAGAAGCCTGAGAGAGGAGGCCAAGCCTTCAAGGGGTTCCCTTATCTCTTGTTATCTGTTCCCTAACCCAGGCACAGGAGCCCCGTCCTAATTCAGACCAACATTACTGCCATGTCTGTCGGGGGTCCTATCTATTCCCTTTTAAACTTCTTACCTGAGGATCTCTCTAGGCCAGGGCGTCCAGGCCAGATGCCCAGGTGAGGAAGCCCCCACCCCACCCCCGATTGGTTAATAGTTTGTTCAACAAATGCTTACCAAAGCACACCTACTCTGGAAATAAAGATATGCATGATGGTGGTCCCTCAAGGTGTTGATGGTCTAGAGTAGGAAGGAAATGGACTGTAATTGCACAGCACAACCAGCCTGTGACAGTAAGCAGCACAGGGGGCTACTGGAGCACACAGGACAGGCTCCAGACCCAGAAATCAGGGAGGCTCCAGGGACTTGAGGGCAGAACAGAATTCTGAAGGGTAAATGGGAGGTTGATGGGCAGATATAGTGGACATGGGAGTTGTGGGCACAGTAAGCTACATGTGTTCAGTATAGGAAAAATAGGATGCTTACAAGAAACTAAACGCCCAAGGTTCCCTGTTTCCACCGCTTCCTGGCTCCAGGAGATCCTGTGTAGACAACTTCTTCACCTTAATGGACTTTTGACTCCAAATTCTGGAATAATCTCCCTTTTCCTCCTGGCCACGTCATGTTCCTGTCCAGGCTGCCTGATGCATATTTGCAGACCATGCGTCAGGACTGCTTGACCTGAGCAGTGAGACTCTGCCTCTTTGCCTGGGCTTGAACCCCATTCTCTGGGCCTGTGCCAGTCTTGAGTGGGCAGAGGCACTGTGTCCTGCCGGACCATCCCCAACACTAGCCACCTGGGATCAACCCCAGTCCTCCAGCGCACTCCCACAGGCGTCCCACCCTTCTCCCAGCTGCCCCTCACCTTGTTTGTTCTTTGGTGATCCAGTCAGGGGTCCCTTCCCACCTATCCTGTGCTATCATTCTCTCTCATCCTTCTGCCTGCCCATCTTGGTCAATCCATCTTTCCCCTGAAAAATATTTAATAAATCCTTCACTTATATTATGAAAGTAAATATGCTAACTATAAAATATCTAGAGAAAAGGTAAAACTAGATAAAAATAATTGTTTCCTAAACATGTAGAGAGCCCCTATTCTATGCCCCTGTGAAGTAGGCATTATTACCATTTCTGTCTTAACTTTGGAGACTCTCAGGCCTGAAGAAATTGAGTAACTTGCCTGAGGCATAGAGTTGCCAAGTGACAGAGCTGGGATTTGAACCTAAGTTGTCCCAGTCCAGTGCTTTGCCTACTATACCTCTGTTCTGTCTCCACTGTCTGCCCCATCCATATGCCCTGCTTGCCCTCCTGGTACTGTCCTGAGGCCCATAACTGGGCCCCAAACCAATCTTTCTAATTGGCATGATGATATCCAGCTCATATGCATGAGCAAGTCCCTGCAGGTGCCTCCCCACCAGCCCATAGTCTCCCTCTGTGCAGAATTTGAAGGGCAGGGTTACCGGGACTAACTCAAGAAAACCAAGATGGGGTTAGTGGCAGGAGAGAGAACTCAACTGTGTCCAGCTCAACAATTTTGTCTCTGCCCCACCCCTCCACACCCCCACTGACCCCTCGCCCCCCTTACCCTTGGCCATTCCTCAGCGTCTCTGCCTCCTGTCTTCCATGACTACACCAGGGTCTAAATATGTGGCCTTCAGGGGCAGCAAAATCTGCACAGACTTGGCCTCCAAACTTAATCATCTGGGGGAGGGTGCAAAGATTAGAGAATGGCTTGGTGTGGGAAGGGGGGTCTCTCTCACCCTCTGGTCTTCTCATCCCAGGCCAATCCTGGGGCAGGGGTAGGACCTGGGGAGGGAGAATGTGGATCCTACCGCCTCCGAGTCATCAAGGCCCTGGTACAGCGCTACATAGAGACAGCCAGGCGGGAGTTCGAGGAGACCCGTCGGAAAGGTTAGTGGCTTGCCTCCAAGCCTTCCGCATTGCCAGTGCTTGTTCGGTGAGTATAAATACCACACACCTAGACACACCCTGCAAGTGTGGCCCTCCTACCCTCCTACTCAATGACTCTCTGAGCCATTCAGACATTTTTTCCACTCATTTCATTTAATCCTTCATGTGTTTGTTGACTCATTCACTCTCTTATCCATTCACTCACTTAACTCATTATTCACTCATTCACTTATTCACTCATTCAACCATCATTCACCACCACATTCCCTTTGTTCCAGCCTCATCTTGGGTGGGGGGAGGGGGGGCGGTTACTGTGTTGAACAGAGATGTAGGGGAAGCTTTCAGTCTGGTGAGAAAGAGAAACCATCTTTGTAGGCAGATAGTGCTTAGCTAGGAGAGACCAAAATTGCAATGGGAGCCCAAGGGTGAGAGAGATGGTGGGGGGTGGGGGAGGAGGGGGACTATTATTTTGACAGGCTAAGGAAAGGTAGAAGAATAGAGGACCAGAAATTGGAGAAACAGGTGTAATTCAAACTGGGCCCTGAGGATGGGTAGGTGGGAACAGCGCTGACAAGGGCAGAGGCACAAATCTCTACCCATTAAAAACTTTCCCATCCCTGTGATTCCTGATCCCTTCTCTGGGGAGAGGATCCCTTTCCTTCTTTGGATCTTCTAAACTCATGGCCACCTCAGCCTCACTCAAATTCCCCAGACTCTGCCTGTCCCTGACCCCCAGCCCACGGGCCAATCTCTCACTTTCTCTAGTTCTCTTCCCTTAGGACCCACAGGCATGATGTCCCCTGGGGTTCTGTTGAGGTTAGAAGTGGTTCAGGGCAGGCTCATCTTCTGAGAGACCTCCCTATCACCTTACCCCACACCCCCAGACCTGGGCAACAGACTGACAGAGCTGACCAAGACTGTATCTCGACTGCAAAGTGAGGTGGCTGGTGTGCAACGGACTCTGGCAGAAGGAGGGACACCTCAGCCACCTGGAGGTGCCAGCATCCTCAGTCGCTACATCACACGAGTGAGCAACAGCTTCCAGAATCTGGGCCCCCCCGTCCCTGAACCCTCAGAGCTGACGGTGCCACAGCCTGTGGGGACCCAGGTATCTTCAGAAACTGGGCTTCAGGATGCTGGAGGGGCTAGGACTTCAGCTTCTGAAGAGTCTGGCCCTTCCTCCCCAGCTCACGTGTTAGTGCACAGGGAGCAAGAATCAGAGGTGGCTGGGGACCTGCCCCAGGAGGAAGATTTGGAAATCAAAGGTGGGTCCTGATGCAGTGGGAGGGTCCCTTCTTCTGTTAGTAGGCAGATAAGCCTAGATAAGTGAGGGTAGGGGTCACTTAGTAGAAGCATGTGCTGCTTTACTTGCCTCAATAAAGTTTCTGTTCTGGATGTCAGATGCCTCCAGAGAGTATAAAGATCTCTGTCTCTTCATGTTTTGAAATTCCCTTTCCCTTGTCCCTGATATGGACTCTTGTGGGATCAGGACAGAGAGAAATGTCTTGCTATGGGGTCCCAGGTATCTTGGGCTTAGGCTCCTACTTGAGTTCCTTCACATCTTTAGTGGAAAGAGTTCTGGACTGGGAGGCAGGGAGCCTGATTTCAATACTCTTTAATATTTAGCAAATTGTTTCTTTCCTTGGCTTTGTATTTCTCATCTGACAAATGGGCGATGAATCCATCTCCCTTTCTCCCTTTCCCTCCCTCCCTCCCTCCCTCCCTCCCTCCCTCCCTCACTCCCTTCCTTCCTTCCTTCCTTCCTTCCTTCCTTCCTTCCTTCCTTCCTTCCTTCCTTCCTTCCTTCCAGGAGTTCTGGGGAATCTCTAACTGTTAAAGTTTCTGGTTTGCAAGTTGTGGTATGTGACAGGGGTCTGCATAGGGGACCATGTCTAGGAGGGATCAAGATGTCATCCTTTTAGTCCCTCAATTTCTGAGTCTGGCTAGGCCAGAGCAGGGTAGATGGTCTGGTCTCATGGAATAAACCAATCATGAAATTTGATGTCACCACACTGCAATACTGTTTAATCAAGTCATCCAAGTATTACCTGTGCTTGTCCCAGGAAGTCCCCACCACCGCATGGCAGGGCTCCCTCCACCCTGCCATGACCTCAGATCCCCCCCACATCCTGTTTGGGAGGGGAGATGGCCGGATAGAGAGATGGCTGGGTGGGTCCCCATCCCTGGGGAATTAGCTGCTAGAGCTGTGTCTGAAACCACTCTCTCGCTTCAAGGCTGTTCAAAGCCCCCTTCTTCATATGAAGGTCAACAGTTCCCCACACTCCTAAGTGGCAGACATTGAACTTTCAGGGCCCAGCTCCTGAGATCTGGAAACCCTCAGGTGCCAAGAACAGGGTCTTCCAGGAGAGTAAAGAGAAGTCCCCCTGAGAGGTGGAGTCTGGGTGCCCTCCTGCTGGAGAGAGAAGAAAAGAAGGTGAATGGTCAGCAGGGCCAGGGGGAGTTGAAGCAGCTGAGGGAGGGGGCAGAGGGTACTCACTTTGTATAGACACACAGCTCCGCTTCTTCTCCCCTGCAGCAGACAGTACCATGAGGCCTCCATGTAGATAGACCCTCACACTCCAAGCTTCCCTTCCCACGAGGCCCTTGGGTGGGCCATTCCCCTTCTCAATCCTGCTTTCCCTTCTCCACAATGCTGACTTCTGACTTTCTTTCCTCCTTCCCTGGAAAATCTCTCCAGCTTGCTTATCCATCCCTGCTCCCACCCTGGCCCCAGCCACTCCTCCATGCTGTCCCTGCCTCAGCACTTAGGAACAGCATCATGTATGTGTCCTATCAATCCCATTAAGCCCAGGGTCTTTTGAGTCCTGAATCAGTACCCCTGTCACTTTCCTCTGCTTATCAATATCCTTAACCAGATTCTTTTGGTCAATTAGACTGTACAGCAGATAGAACCTTTTGAGAACATTTACAGAATCAACCGAGAACGTTCATAGATCCAGAAAACACTTATAAGACCTTCTAAGAGTTGGCAGAACACAAGTAACAGAGAATAGTAATTACAGCTGAGCTCTGGCCCTCAACTTTCCCATTAACCAAGTGGGTCTCCTGAATGGGCATCCTGGTTTATTTCACCCACCCCGCCAGTCCTGCTTCCCTCATGCATGGCTTACCACCCAGATAGGCACAGTTAAAGTGGCTGCAGGTCTGATTATAGCTCCAGAGAGTCACCAGGCTCTGGGCTCCTTCCTGGGAGAACCTGGTGACCAAGAAGACTTCATGTGGGGGGATCAGCACCTCACGCTCCTCAGGAAAGACAGATAAGGCCTGGATAGGGGCCCCAAAGCAAGTCCTTAGAGAGAAGAAGGTGGCATTACCAAATCTGTGGGCCACTGCCTTATCCAGGGAGCTGGAAGCAAACTGGCCCAAGCGGACAGAGTCCCCCAGCCTCTTGGGTTCAAAGTGAAGGGTGCCCACTCCTCGAAACACCACCTCCCCAGGTCCCCTGCTGCAGCCCCCACTGCCTTGCAGCAGCTGCAGGGCCCGGGTCAAGTAGAAATGCAGGGCCTTGAAGGGGAAGTGCTTCATGTAGAATTCCCGGGAGCCACCGCCTGTCCGCACAGCCTGGTTCAGCTCCCAGTACAAAGTGTTAGATGAGTTGGTATAGACCATGACAGCGATTCCATGCTGGGCTTTGAAGCCAGCGGGCAGGGTGAGCCCTCGACGCCTGTGCTCCCAGGCCTCCCGGGCTGCCTCCCAGGACTCCCGCAGCAGGGAGTGGCGGACCATCTCCTCCTTCAGCAGAGGGGCTGCCTTCTCTTCCATCTCCTCTGTGCAGCCCACGTAAGCATCATCAAAGGTGTCTGGAGCCAGGCCCAGGGGCAGGATGGGAACAGCCTGGGCCTATGGATGTAGGAAAGAGGAGCCACATAGGAACAAATAGAAGTTTAGAGCACTGGACAGGTGCCTTGGTGGCAGATCAATTAAGAAACATGTACCTTGCTTCTATGACCAAAGTTTCAGTATATGCAATTTGGCAAGAGCTCAAGGGCTTAAATAGCACAGCCACTGCAGTCAGACAGACATGGGTTCAAATCGTGACTTCCGCATCTACTAGCTGTGGGAGCTTGGGTATGTCTCTTAACTTCTGTAGGCTCTCCTCGCATAAACTAAGGATACTTCCAACCTCAGGGATATTGTGAGGACAGCATATAGGTCTTCACTTGTGTACAACATGAAGGGGTCATTTTGTCATTAGAGAAGTTCTTGTACCTGGTAGGAAGTGGGACTAGATGACTTCCAAGCACTGTCCTGGCTCTAAGGTCAGTATGCAGGTGATATACAAATACACAGCCAAAGTCCAATGACCCGACCCTGCCCCAATCCTTAGATTCTCTTCCCCCTTCATGCCACTACATCAAGACATTGTTAGCTCTGAGACTCCTGAGTCTTCTCCTGCTTTAGAAGCCCATATTCCCAAACATGGGGTGGGTGTGTGGAGGAGGTCAAGCCCTGGTCTGGGAGGGACTGCAGGAGGGCAGCACACAGGTAGCCCAAGCTGGTTTGCCTGGGCTGCGCCTGTGGTGGCAGACAGGAAGTGGGGAGGAATGATATAAAGGAAGGAGGATCCTAGGAGGACCAGTGGGTGGAGGTGAGGATTCTGGGAGAATGGAAACTTGGGGCTTCCTGCGGGGATGGCGATTCCTGAGAAGAGGATTCCTGAGAAGAGACTAGGATCCTAGAGAAGAGTTCCCCGGAGAGATTTTTGAGGAGTCAGCCCCCTAGTCCACCTCTTTTTGGTCTGCCCCTGAACTGTTTGTTCCCTTTGTGGTGGGAGAAGTTTCCCCCAATTACCTGCCAGAGGGCGTGAACAGCCATCAGCAGAGCCACCAGCATCATTTTTGGGGAGAGACTCAGGAAACCGAGGTCCAGATGTCAAGGCACCAGTGGCGATGGCCCGGGGGACAGAGACCTGGGTCCGTTCCTCTGGGGTGTGAAGTGCCCGGGTTCAGGATACAGCTCAGGCGGGCGTGGGCAGGGCCAAGGGCGGACCTAAGGGAGTGGGCGGGGCTTTAGATTTTACTGTCCCCCCCAAACCCCTGGGGCTTCGCTCCCCAGATTCCCAGTCGCCCCCAAGCTCAGCGTCTTCTGCTCGGGGCCGTTCTTGCGATGATAAAGGTGGAGCCGTTATTTGGCTTCGCCTTGACAGGGGAGGGGGCTGGAGGCTGGGGACCCACCTGGAAGTTGCAGGGGCAAGAGCGGGAAGGGGCGCTGATAGCTCTGGCTGGCGGCAGGGGGCTCAAGTCCCGGCTGGCGCTGCGCTGTCCCGGGAGTCCCGCCGATCAACAAAGTCCCGCGGCTAACTATAGCCCCCGCTGCGGTAATCCGACACCTCTCTTCTCCAACAACGGACACGGGTGGGGGCAGCGGGAGTGGCGCGAGAAGGGGCCGAGGGGCGTCCCTCCCTTTCCCTAGGACTGCGAGTTCTTTCTCCAGAATCCGCTTTGGCTCTGAGCGAGGCCAGGGATGAGGGCGGGACTTGTGAGACTTTTAAGACTTGACCTCTCCCTCAGGTGGACCCTGACCTGGCTGGGCCCCAGCTCCCAGACCACTACGCCCGGGGAGGCCCACGAGGGTCCGCCCACCAGGAAGTCTCTGCTGGTGCACTTGCTGATTTGCATAATATTTGCATATGGCCTAAAAGTTGGAGCATTTGTGGTTGGACCTCTGAGCGGCACCCACCCGTCCCCTTCCCTTTAGTAGGGTTCGACCAGATGCAGAGCTATCCCACAGCCTCAGGGGCCAGTCCCACTTCTCCCCAGACCCTCCCTCTCTGGACCTCTTAGACTCAGGTGACCCCATGTTTATAAACACTAGCTTTTCCTCTCCCCTGCTGCGGGCTTGTCTATAAATAACTTGGCTCTGAGTTTTGGATGCCCAATCAGAGGTAATAGGAGAAGTGGCCAGCTAAGAATCAGTAAGCAGCTCTGGGGACAGCTTTCTGGCAGCCTGAGCCTCTGGGGGTGGGAGGGTTACTCCCACAGTGGACATGGGAGTTGGGGGGGGTCTCGAATGTCAGAACTTATTTTATTTTTAATGTTTTATTTATTTCTGAGAGAGAGAGAGAGGCAGCATGAGCAGGGGAGGGTCAGAGAGAGAGGGAGACACAGAATCAGAAGCAGGCTCTGGGCTCTGAGCTGTCAGCACAGAGCCCAATGCGGGGCTCAAACCCACAAACCTCGAGATCATGACCTGAGCCAAAGCTGGACGCTTATTAACAACCGACTGAGCCACACAGGCACCCCCCCCTTTCTCTCTGCCCCTCCCACGTTTGTGCACGTGCTCTCTCTCAAAATAAACAAACTTAAAAAAAAAAAGTACTTTTGTCCCCTTCCAATGAGACTGACCATCCCAACTCATCTAGATTAGAAAATCAGGAGTTTCTCAACTGTTTACCATGACTGTGAAAACCACATCTTGCCTGTGTATCCTGGCTGCCTCTGCCCTTGGAGGCCCCTCAGCATTTGCTGTTGGAACAGAAGATACTGTCTGGGATGGCTAGGCTTGCTGAAACCAGTCCTTGGTATCAGATGTACTGGGTCAGGATTTTGTCCTCTCCCCACATGGAAGTGCTTCTCCCATCCCCACATGTGGAACTCCAAGAAAGGCTCCAAGAGATGGAATCAAATCTAGTCACTGACTGGACTCCTGAGGCAGAAAGTCCTCCCAGATCACACAGCAAATCAGTGCTGGCCAGACCCAGCCTCCTTAATCTGGGAATCTCTCCTTGCATGTTAGGTGAGTCTCCATGCTCACATAAAAGGAATAAATGTAAATGTAAAAGATAATCTCTGAGGACAGTGGTGCTGCTCACAGGGCCAAACCCAATGGGGAGGCAGTTGTTCCAGCCTGGATCCTCAATGCCTCTGGTCAGGGGTTCCCTTTTTCATGGGAGGAGCACTGGCCCAGGGCAGACTGCGCAGAGGCTAGTGTTCCCAAGCCTTGAGGAGACATCCAGAAATAGATGGGGGAGTGTCACATTTCTGAGCAGCTGTGTGGGGACAAGGGGTGAGGGGACTGACAGTATAAAGGCCTTCCCTCTCTCCTGGTGGCCATCACAGAAGACCAACACCAGCTTCTCTGGACAAGGCCTAGGTAAGGGGCACACCACCCTCCTCCTGGGTAAAGGGCAGGGAAAGACTTTTTTAAGGGGAAATTTGGGGTATTGATGGTGGAGTTTCAGGAGTTAGGAACAGTTTCAAGGAACCTTTTATCATAGTCCATTAAGGCTGCTATAAAATACCATAGACTGGGTAACTTAAAACAGACATTTCTTATAGTTCTGGAGGCTGAAAGTCTGAGACCAGGGTGAAGACTCTCTGGCTCATGACTGGCACCTTCTCACTATGTCCTCATATGGTAGAAGGGGCTAGGGAGCTCTGAGGGGTCTCTTTTATAAAGAACAGTCATTCCATCCTAAAGGATCCACTTCTAAAGCCATCACAGTAGGCATTAAGATTTCAACATATGAATTTGGGGGGGAGGCACAAACATTCAGACGGTAATGCCTTTGATGGAGAGGTTTAGGATACCTAGGGAGGCTTGGGGGCATTGAGAAACTTAGGGGTTCTGGGAAGAGACTTAAAAGTCACCTCTCCAGAAGGAAATGTTCAGTGAGGGTCTGGATGAGGAGACACTGACAAGTGCTCTGAGCAGGATGGTAGGAGAAACAGAAGGGCAGGTGGGATATAAGGGGCTGCCCAGTGCCTCCACTTCCTCGCCTCCCATAACCTCCCATCTCTCTGGCCCCGCCCCATCCCCTGAACACTGCTCACCAAAGTCATCAGTCTACTTGCTCTGCGGTAGTCTACACTGTTAGCTGCACCCAGAAAGCCTCTCAGACTCTCAGCAAACATTCCAGGTGGCCTCATCTGTGGCAGGCTTGGACTGAACTCTGGGGACACAGAACAGGTCATACCTGGTCCCTGCCCTCAAAGAACTCCCAGGCCAGGAGGGGAAACAGACACATAAGAGCAACACAGCATGATTAGGACAATGACAGAGGAAAGCACAGGATGATTTAAGAGCACAGAGTCGTCAGAAGGCTCCCTGGTGAAGGTGACCCCTGAGCTAAGCCTTGAAAGGTGGGTAGCAAGAGAAGGGCATCCCCAGCAGGGGGATGGCAATGTGTGCAGAGCCACCAGAGGGAAGCAGTGGAGCCTCACCTGGAACTTTGTTCTGTACTGGAAAAGCCACGCAGGGGTAGTGGGGCACGAGGCTGAAGAGGCTACAGAGGGCTAGGTCACAGAGCACCTCAATGCCAGCATGAGGAGGACTCTATCCTGATGGTAAGGAAGGAAGTTGTGTTTTGTTGCCTTTTTTTCCTTTCTAGATGTGTTCTCATGTCTTCCCTCCTAATTTTCATCTCTACATTTTTACTCTGTGTTTTCAGATATTTGGCACACAAGGTTTTTAAAGCAGGTAAGCAACCTGACCAGCTGTGCTTTAGAAACATTGTTCTCCCTGCTCTGTGGAGGGCAGATTAGCACCAGTGATAGCGTAGGCAGGAGCAGACCTGAGCCACGGCAAGGGATGTGGGGGTGGGAAAAGACAAGGCACTTCTAGGATGGATCCATATTATGATCAGCAATAGCTGGTAACTAATTTAGTGTTTGATGAGTGATCAAATGAGTGGACACCCAAGTGACCATCTTGGGTGTCACTGGGCAAGTAATGGTGATGGTATATTATATGAGACTCTTCCAATGGCAAGCTAGATGAAACCCAAAGAGGAAATTATTACAAGAATACCATGATAGTTCATGAGATCCAAGTGAAGAGCCTCTAGAAACCCAAGATGCCTCTTGGGCTGCCTGTGCTTTGGCTTTAGGCAACTTTTTCTTTGCTTCTCAGCCCTCTTTTTTCTTTCCCTGGGGATCTTATGTCTTCTCTGACTTCAATACACCTATGTCTCTCAAATGTCTCATCTTACTGTCCATTCTTCTATCCCTTGGACATCTGACCCTTGAAAGTCCACACATGCCAAACTGAACTCACTGGTTTTCCTCCAAACCTGAGTATTCATTCGTGTTTTTTTTATTGAGCACCTATCATGTGCCAGGATGGGCAAAATTTTATAGTCTCCCTGCTCCTCCTCTGTTAGCAGCCTAGAGTACGGAAACCTGCACATCATCCTTGATTTTTCCCTCTGTTGCATCCCCTATATCTCATCAGACACCAAGTCTAGTAAATTAAACCTAACAACTCTGGGTCCATCCTCACTGCTAGTATCTTAGGCTACATGATTCAAGGTCCTCAGTCTCACTTCAGAACTCAGACTTCCCTGTCCCAAGCCTATGAACTCTCTCTTTTCTTGCCTTGTCTCTGCAGGGTAGAGATAAGGACAGAAACAAGAGCAACAGAGAGGGAGCAAAAGATAGAGTTGGCCTAGTGAAGTTTTGCTGTATAACCATTTTGCTATGTACCAAAGAATCTCAGTGGCATGCAAAGGTTATTCACATGTTCACGGGTCTTTGAGCTGACTACAGACTAGCTAATCTAAAGTGGGTTTGATTGGGCTGCTCTGCTTCAGGCTGCCAATCTGCCTCAGCTTTTTGCTGGCTGGGCTCAGGTCTGCTCCTTATGTGATTATTCTGGGGTTCAAGCTAACAGAACAGTTCTGGGCCACATTCTGATGGTTTGTGACCCAAAAAGACCCCCTCTCTTGATTTAGAGTCCCCCAAAAGCAGATCCAGAGACAAGGACTTGGGTGTAGTGAGCTTATTTTCCCTGTTGCTACACATGGCCAGATTTCATTCTTTCTCATTGCCATGTAGTATTCCATCGAGAAAGTACAAGTTTAAAAGTGGCAAAGTGGATAGGGGCACATGTACCCCAATGTTCACAGCAGCGCTCTCAACAATAGCCAAATCATGGAAAGAGCCTCAATGTCCATCAACTGACAAATAGATAATGATGTGGTTCATCTATACAATGGAATACTACTTGGCAATGAGAAAGAATGAAATCATATCATTTGCAGCAACGTGGATGGAACTGGAGGGTGTTATGCTGAGTGAAATAAGTCAGGCAGAGAAAGTCAGATACCATATGTTCTCACTCATATGTGGATCTTGAGAAACTTAACAGAAGACCATGGGGGAAGAAAAGGGAGAAAAATAGTTACAAACAGAGAGGGAAGGAGTTAAATCATAAGAGACACTTAAATACAGAGAACAAACTGAGGATTGATGATGGGGGGAGAGGGGAAAGTGGGTGATGGGTATTGAAGAGGGCACTTGTTAGGATGAGCACTGGGTGTTGTATGTAAGCCAATTTGACAATAAATTATACTTATTTTTTTAAATTTTTTAAAATGTTTTATTTATTTCTGAGAGAGAGAGAGACAGTGTCAACAGGGGAGGGTCAGAGAGAGAGGGAGACACAGAATCTTAAACAGGCTCCAGGCTCTGAGCTAGCTGTCAGCACAGAGCCCAATGTGGGGCTCAAACCCATGAACCATGAGATCATGACCTGAGCCAAAGTCAGAGGCTTAACCAACTGATCCACCCAGGCACCCCGACAATAAATTATATTTAAAAAAATAAAATAAAGTGGCAAAGTGTGATGGAGAAGAGAAAAGCCCCCCCCAAAAAAAAAGAGTGTGTTAATGAGCGTACTGTGAACACTGTGGTCAACTGGGGCTTAATCCCACTGGGTACCCTCTGTAGGAAAGGGAATCTGACTACCATTCCTCCTTGGTTAAGGGTTGCCCTGGGAACATTAAATCCTCTGCACTTCTGGACTGCCCTGAGCAAAATTACAGGGTGATAGAGAAAGGCTTGGACACAAAAAAATTACATGAAAAACTAGAGGTGGGAAGCTCAGCATGAGCTGAGGTGTCAGCATGTACGAGAACTATCCACTGCCCCTGTGTGTGGACTTGTGGGTGGGCTGAACCATCAAAATTTTGCCTCGTCCCACCCAAGGACCAGGACATTATGGAACAGAAATGCTTTGCCTGAATGAGACTGGGGACAGAGACATAACCGCCTGAAATTTATGTTACATTGTATGAGGGAGCATACATCCATTTACTTTTTAAAATTTTAATGTTTATTTGGGGCGCCTGGGTGGCTTAGTCGGTTAAGCGTCCGACTTTCACTTAGGTCATGATCTCGCGTTCGTGGGTTCGAGCCCCGCGTCGGGCTCTGTGCTGACTGCCAGCTCAGAGCCTGGAGCCTGTTTCAGTCTGTGACTCCCTCTCTCTCTGACCCTCCCCTGCTCACGCTGTGTCTCTCTCTCCTAGAAATAAATAAAACATTAAAAAAAAAAAAAAAAAAAAAAAAAAAAAAAAAATAAAAAAAATAAAAAAAAATAAAATTTTAATGTTTATTTACTTTTGAGAGAGAGAGAGACAGACCATGAGTAGGGAAGGGGCAGCCAGAGATGGAGACACAGAATCTGAAGCAGGCTCCAGGCTCTGAGCTGTCAGTACAGAGCCTGGTGCAGGGCTTGAACCCATGAACTGTGAGATCATGACCTGAGCTAATGTTGGATGCTTAACTGACTGAGCCTCCTAGGCGCTCCTCCATTTTCTGAGGAGAGGTTTCACCTTTGATCAAATTCCCAAAGATAAAGAACCACTCATTGTTTTACCATTTGTGTATAATAAGGAAAATAGAAATACCTGTGAATTTGCTTATATGTGGATACAGTATCTTTAGAAGGATACACAGAAAATGGGAATGTTGGTTGCCTCTGGTGAGATGGAGTAAGGAATTAGCAAGAGAAAGATATTTCATTTTGTGCCTTTTGGACTATTTACATTTTGAACAATGAAAATGTATTACTTTTAGAAAATTAAACCCTTATGGGCACCTGGGTGGCTCAGTCAGTTAAGCGTCTGACTCTTTATCTGGGCTCAGCTCATTATCTCACAGTTTGCAAGGTTGAGTCCCACATCCAGCTCCATGCTCGAGATTCTCTCTCTCCTTCTCTGCTTCTCCCCCTGCCCCTTCTTGCTCTCTCTCTCTCTTAAATAAATATTTTTTAAAAAGATTTACATTGAAAATTAAAGTCAAGATTGATCCTGTTAGTAAGCAGAAATGTGAATTAGAGAGATTTCCTCAGTCAGCTGAGCAGCTGACTCTTGATTTCAGCTCAAGTCATGAACCCAATGGTCATGGGATCAAGCCCATTGGGCTCTGCACTGAGCATGGAGTGCTCTTGGGATTCTCTCTCTCCCCTACCCCTCTCGCGTGTGCTCTCTCTCTCTCAAAAAATAAAAGAGAGAGAAAGAGAGAGAGATTATGGTAATTAGAATTGGCAAAGACATAGAGAAAAGCACTCTCATTCACTGTTGCAGAAGGGCAAACTACTACCTCTGAGTGGTAATTTGGCAGTGCCATATAAACAATAATTCACATCCTTTAAACATTATATCACTTCTTGATATCTTTCCTATAAAATATGCATATAAGTAGGTAAGGATTTTATATACATGGATGTTCATAAAGTATTATATGTAATGTCAAAAATGCCAAAGCATTAGGAAAAAATCTGTGCCCATTAATGAGAAAATAGTTGAACAAATTATGGTTTAACTATATTATGAAATTCCATGCTGCCATTAAAATGAATAAGGTAGATATGAATGTATGGTGTGGAAGGAACTCCTTGATACATTGTTTCCTGGGGGAAAAAGGTTACAGGAGATATATATGAAATATGAAAAGGCATGTTACTTTTTCTTTTTGAAAAAACAAACAATAAAAACCAAAAGCAGCCTGTGTATAGAAAACTAGGTGTGTATGCATATTTAAATATTAAATTACTTGCACATACACAGAAATAGGTCCTAAAGGACACTAGTGTCATGGTAACAGCAAGCACAGGTAAGAGTGAGAGAGGACACGGAGGGAGAGATAAAGACTGGGACTTGGATTCTGTGATCCATTCATACTTTCTTTCCCCCACTACAAGCATACATTACTTTGTAATGAAACAGAAAAAAAACAGCAGCAGCAGCACTGATTTAAAAACTGTCTGTTCCAATCCTGACCCCAAGCTGGGACTCCGCCTTCTTGGGGCCTCACTCCCCGTCCCATCCTCTCTGCATCTCCCAGCCCCTCTCGTTTACCACCTGGCAGTCTACATCTGTCCTGGGCCTGGAAGCAATTGAGGACTTATGGGAGGAGGGCTCAGTTTGTACCAGGACTGCAGGAGAGGAGGACGGGTGGATCTCATACCTTGAGCCCTGCCGTGACCCACCAGGTGGCCAGTCCTGGATCTGCCCTGTTCCAGCCTCACATCCTCCATGGGGTGAAGCCTAGACCTCTTGCTGTGGCAGTCAGGACCTTTCATGAACGGCCCCAGTCTTTCCAACATTCCCACACTGCAAGTTCTGCCGTGCTGGACAAAATGTCTTTCACTTTTTATATTCAATACCTTTGCTCTTCTCATTTCTGCTACCCTGGACTCCTTTCTCACCCCAAATGCCAATCTTCCTAACCCAGTCTCCACCGATTGAAGCCTTATTCTCCTATTTATCCAAAAGACCCTGTTCAGGTAACACCTCCTCCAGGAAGTCTCCCATGTTCCCATATTCCAGCAAGAAGGATCCTCTCTCTCTCCTGAGCCTTCCTTTCTATGTGCCAAGCACTGAGAGTGGCACAGACTAGGTGTCAATCAATGTTTATGAAACTACATATTAACATTGCCATTTTCTAGATGAAGAAGCTGAGACTCAAAGAGAGAAAGTAATTTATCCAGGGCTACCTCCAACATGCAGCCTCCTGCCATGGTGTCTCTGCTGCTTGTGTCTATGGGCCTCATGGAAGCACTTCAGGTATGGTCATCCTCCACTGTCCCCTCGCCAGCAGGGAGCTGAGTTGTTGGCTTCCTCTGAACTCTGGGAGGAGGAGCCATGGGAGGAGGAGCCATGGGAGGAGGAGCCATGGGAGGAGAGAACAACTGATGCTTCCACTGGGGCTGGCCCAGCCTGAGGGGACAGCCCCTCACCCTGCTCTCTGAGAGTGTGCAGCTGGTCGTTCCCAATCCCCTTCCCCTCCAGGCGTGTTTGGGGCTCTCAGCGTCATCATCTAAGTGGAGAAATTTGATGACAGGCTCCCATTCTCCTGAGGCTCATCCTCTCGCTCCTTACTGCTCCCTCTTCTTCAGGCCCAGAGCCATCCCATCACTCAACGAGACCTCTTCTCTCAAGAAATGCCCCTGGACATGGCCCCAGCCTCCTTTGATGACCAGTATGCTGGCTGTGCAGCAGCCATGACAGCTGCTCTCCCGGATCTCAACCAAACAGAGTTCCAGGCCAACAAAGTGTATGCTGATGGCTGGGCACTGGCAAGCAGCCAGTGGCAAGAGCGCCAGGCCTGGGGACCAGAGTGGAGCCCCAGCCCTACCCGCCTGCCCCCGCCACCTCCTGGCTTCCGCGATGAGCACGGGGTGGCCCTCCTCGCCTACACAGCCAACAGCCCTTTGCACAAGCAGTTCAATGCAGCCGTACGCGAGGCGGGCCGCTCGCGAGCCTCCTACCTCCACCACTTCTCCTTCAAGACACTCCATTTCCTGCTGACCGAGGCCCTGCAGCTACTGGGAAGGGGCCAGCGTTCACCCCAGTGCCGCCAGGTGTTCCGAGGCGTACACGGCCTGCGTTTCCGGCCAGCGGCACCTGGGGCCACCGTAAGGCTGGGGGGATTTGCTTCTGCCTCCCTGCAGAATGCTGCAGCCCAGCAGTTTGGGGAGGACACCTTCTTTGGCATCTGGACCTGCCTTGGGGCACCTATCAAGGGCTACTCCTTCTTCCCCGGGGAGGATGAAGTGCTGATCCCCCCCTTTGAGACCTTCCAGGTAATCAATGCCAGCAGACCAGCCCAGGGCCCCACCCGCATTTACCTCCGGGCCCTGGGCAAGCGCAGCATGTACAACTGTGAGTACATTAAAGGTGAGTAGGGCACGCACTAGACAGCACCTATGCAGAAGATGGGCTTCCCCTTCTGTTTTCAGGGGATACAGACACAAATATTACAAATAAATGAACAATGAGGGGGACCCAGTCGTGTCCCTCTGCCCCTCTACCCCCTTGCATCTAACCTTCTGAGGTAATAGGACTCTTGTCCCTGGAGGTGTTTAAGCCAGAGCTGGCCACTTGCCTGCTGGGAGGCCGAGAAGGGTTTTCTGACCAAGACAGGTGTCTGTGGACATTTGAGGGCCAAACAGAACTGGTCAGGCTTTTCTCCCAACTGGAAGCTGGATGGCAGTTAATTTCTGGCCACAGCACTGACACCCAGACCACTGATGCCAGGTCTGATTAAGAGCCAACATCAGCCTCCAAGAGGAGCACATGTATTCGGCTGAATGGAGATCCTGTGCTGTCATGTGTGCTAGGCGGGGGTGCAGGTGGGTGGTGAGACAGCCGTTGGGGCCTGTGCCCCAAAGTTCCAGCTCAGGCTGTTGCAAGTCTTAGATACTCTTCCTGTCTATCCCCCAGGAGTGGCCAGAGACAGAATCATGAGGACAGGCCCAGGTTCTTTATCTCTGAAGGGGCTAGGGGTTGCTGGTCCTGGCTGAATGATGCCCAGGGGCTGTGAGGCCAAATTTGCATAATTAGAAGCAGGTCGTTGGCTGGAACTGTGGACCACCTCTAAGATGGGAGAAGGTTCAGTGTGGCTGCCATTCCCACTTTGGACAGCACCATGAGTGTGCATGAGTTAATGGAAGGTGAGAAAGACATGCAAAGTACATAAACTAGTGTCTCCTTGGCTGGGACAAGGCATGGGAGAGGGAGAGGTGAGGCAAAGTTACAGGCCAAGGAAGCAGGAGGAGTACCCATAATAGACCCTGGCTTTGAGAGCTGGCTCCCTTCTGGCTCTGTTGCTCATGGTCAAGTCAAACGTAGGCAAGGGAGGTCCATAAGGAAGCAGAGTTAGGGGAAAATGTATCAGCTTCTCCTCGAACAAGTTGGTAATGGACCACAGGGTTTTGGGGTTCTTTCCTATCCTGAGAGCTATTGAGCCTTTGATTATTTACTGTTTCTTCCCTACAGACAAGCAGTGCAAGTCTGGGCCCTGCCGTCTGCATAACTCAGGTAAGAGCTGCAAGCCTATGTGGGCCTCAGCTCAAGGATAAGCAGGGTGCCCTGGGGTTGAACTCCTCTCCTGAATGCATGTCACTCTTGGAAGGAAAACAACCCTCTTTTAATTAATACAACTCTTAAGTAGATACCTGTGGAGGTTGCTAACCTCTCTTAGAGGACACAGATGTGAGTATGGGGCAGAGATCATACAAGCTGATATACGTGCCCCGCCCCCCCCCCCCCCCCCCCCCCCCACCGTACGGGCCCCCTCTCCTTCACAGGAGGTCACTGATCATGTCTCAGAGAGATCCAGGGTGCACTGAGGGGATGAAGGGAAGGGCCCACTCCCACAGTCCTCTCTGGTCCTTCTCCTTCAGCTGCAGAACCCACTGTCTCTATTATCGCCCTCAGGGCTCCTGTAGACCACCTTCCAAGGTTGAGGTCAGATCTTGGGTGCTGGACACCTGATCTCATCTGGGCTCTACCCTAACTCTCTCTGTGACCAATCAGTCTCTCTCTGGGCCTCAGTTTTCCTATCTGTATAATAATGCATATTAGACTAGAAGATCCCCAGGTCCCTTTCAGTTGTGACTCTTTTCTTCCCTTGAATACTTGCTGTGCCAGGGCCTGCCTAAGCCACCACTTCTCTAGGTGGGAATGGGCTTTTCCAGGGGAACCAACTGGAATAGGCCCTTCCAAGGACAGAAACTCTAGCCACTCCTCCCTGTCGGGTCCCTCCTCCCTCCGCCAGGGCTCTGTGAACTGTGGGAAGGAAGGGGCCCTAGCATCCACTTTGTTCCCACCATTCTCTACTACACAGTCCTACTCCATGCTCCAGGCACACCATGCCATGAATCCTCACCATGACCCAGTGGGTAGGTACTATCATCGCCCTCGTTCTACAGATGAGGGAACTAAGTCCCAGAGAAGTGAATCAACCAGTAAGGGGTGGGGTCCAGAGAGACCAGCTCTAGAGCCAAACTCTGAGCCACCACACTACCTGGTCCCCACTTCTCCCTGGACACCATCTTATTTTATTCTTACTGTACAATAAACCATTGGAAGGAGGAAGAACAGGGAGTATTACCCTCATTATATAGTAAAGGAGACCCAGAGACAGAAGGAGTCAGTGGCAAGCCAGGGTCAGAAGCCAGATCTCTGGGCTCCAACCAGTTGAGTTCTGGTAATGTCATTTCAAGAACCAAACAAGCTAAGGATCCCCTCTGGTCCATCAGTACTTCTATCAGGAGTTGGGCAAAGGGGCAAAGATGAGCATCAGTAGAGCCCACTCATATCTCTTCCCCTTGTTCATCCCACTCTGCAACACCTCATTTGTCTCAGAAGGAGGCAGGGGCATAGACCAACCTAGTCACCTCTGGAAGGGGAACTGGGGCTCTTTCATCTGCCTACCCTCCTCCCTGAATCCATGCTCTGCACCTCTGGCCCCATTGCACTTTGTGTGTCTGTGTTTCCAGCTCACTCTGCTCACTCCTCTTCATCTTGTTTATGCACCTCATTTACCCTGAAACCTCTCTCTCTGCCTGTTTTTCCTGCAGCCATGGGTCAAAGCCCCCTTTCTGCAGTCTGGTCTCTCCTACTGCTGCTCTGGCTCCTTGTCGGGGGAACCTTTCCATAGAGTCCAGGCCTCCTTATCATCCGTCCAACACTGAACAGCCCTGCCTGCTGCCTCTACCCAACATGGGGATGTTAGCCACGTGTGTGCTTTAAGGGCAGCCAGGATCCAAGGTAACTCCATCTGCAGGGAACTCTGGGACACTGGTAGCTGCCAGGCCTGTTGATGGAGAAATAAAGGAATCTAGGGACCGAACTTTAGCCAAGGTTCTAAGAATGAGACACTGAATAGAGGTGGGGGTCTCCAGAACAGGCAACAACTCACTTGGAGGTTAAAGACTAAACTAGTTTGGGGGGTGGGGAATGGGGAGAAAATCACTTGGCCAGGGTACTTGCTGGTGTTACTCAAATGCCTCACATGCACACCTGGAAGGCTCCTATTCGCTCTCCCAAGAAGCCTTCTCTGACCTCTCCCACCTGGCTGGGCTAGGGGCCCTGCCCCTCTGCTCCCACAGGTCCCTAGGTGCTTCTCTACACCCTGTGTTCATGTTTGCCTCCTGTGTCAGACTGTGAGCTTCCTGAGGGCAGGGACTGGGTCTAAAGCACAGAGATAGTGCTAGAAAACATGTAAGTCAAAAAGGAACAAATATCTTGTGAATGGCTCATCTCTGCACTGCCAGCTCTGGACATTTTCAAGCTCTCTGTCAGTATGTGGGAATGGTGTGGACTGTCTCTAGCTCCAGAGGGTAGAGAGCACGAGACCTAGCACAGACAGCATCAGGCTCTCTGCCAGGGTCTCAACTGAATGCTCACTTGAATTCTTGTCAGCAAAGACATAATTTTTGCTCTGATCTATGCGTCCTAAGGCTCCTGCCCCTAAAGAGACAAACCTGGATCCCCAACTTCCATTACCACAGCCCCCAAGGGTTAAGACAGGACAGTAAAGAGGTGCCAGGCACGCACTCATTTTATTAGGAGTTGGGGCTTTGAGGCCAAAATCCTGGTTGTGGTCTCCTGCTCCGGAAACTAGAATCCTGAATCCTTTTCTCTGAGTCCTAGGCAGGGACCGGCATGACCAAGTCCGTAAAACAATAGCCACTGAGGAAGGAAGAGAAGACAGAGAAACATGGTAGTTCTGTGTCTCATATAACTCGCACTCTTGCCACCAACAGCTCTAACACTCAGCATCAAAGTCCAATTCTGTTCTTCCAGGACTGCATTTTGATCTTGACCCTTAGAGTTCCTCTTCTGCAGGGATTCGGGGAGTGGCAAGCTCTGGATTTCCCTCTGTGGTTAGGGTAGGTAGGCAAGTGATCCCTGTGGGTTGTGAAATCAGCAGTGCTGATAATGAAGAAAGGGTGTCCCAGGCTCTGAGGCACAGCAGGGAGAGACTGGGTGGCCCTTCTGAGAGCCAACATCCACCTGGCCTTTCCATCCCTGTCTGGAGGTGCTGTGGCTGCACCAGACCCCTGGGACTCACAGGGCCTGCACCAGCACCAGGAGGCTCATGACCAGGGCCATGGAGAAGAAGATGCCCAGGAAGAAGCGATCCATCACACGGGCCAGCCGCTTCCAGTCTTCATGGCGGCGCTGGGCAACCCGGTGGCTGTGGAAGGTGTTAACAATGGTAGCTACGTGGCGCAACAAGGCTTCCTGACGGCACAGACACCGTGGCTCACGGCAAGAAACTGCTGGAGGGTGAACCCCTTCGTCAGGAGGCTGGGGACTGGGAGGTGTCTCAGGTGGTCTAGACTGCCCACAGGGCTCCCCTCGTTCCCGCACACACAAGCCCCGTGCCAGGCGTCCCAGCAGGAGGGCCCGAGCCCAGGCTGGCACTGGTCGGGCACTAGGACCACAGTAATGCAGGTTCATGATAAGGATGGTGAGCGCTGTGGAGAATGTGACCATGGTCATGGTGGCCATGTAGTACTTCCCTGCAAGAGAGAGTGAGCTGGGGCCCAAAACAAGAACTCAGGGTGCCTGAGTTTGCCCACCACCTCAACACAAATAGGCACCAGCTCACCCACCATGAGGCTCTCAGGACCCTCCAGTCCCAATGGATGGAGCCAGGAAGGAAATAAGAGCCAAGGTCTCCTCATTCCCTATTCCAACAAGTGAGTTCTCACAAGCCACCTGCTCCGTAGTTCTCCTCACTATTGGACGCTGCACTCCTCCCACAATCCATGAAAGCCATGTTCTCAAATGTAGAACCACAATCTGGGGCATATTATTGATTCTTTTGGTACAACTGGGATAACAACAGAACTTACCTCACAGGTCTGTGGTGATGCCTCCCTGAGTTAATTAATGCCTCCCTGAGTCAAGTGCTTAGGAGAGCCTGTTACGAAGGGTGAGGGGAGGGATGTCCTCCTGGAAGGGGCCTAACTCCTCTCCCCTCAATCTCAGAATGAGGCATGCTCCCGTAATGACCCCCACCCCCCAAACTCCCGCACTGAACTGTGGCCCGCACTGCTAGGCTGGGCATGGGCGGGGGCCAGTCTCGTGGAGGGGACGGCTCTCTGCGCGCCCCCTCCCCACCCCCGACCCGCCCCCTCGTGGCTCACCGATGAGCGGCACGCTCTCGGCCGGCGGCATGCTCTCAGCCAGGAGCAGCTGGAAGACGGTGAGCGCCAGCAGCACAGTGACGCCGAGCGACACCTTCTCGCCCGAGTCGGCTGGCAGGTGGAAGGCGAGCGGCGCGAGCAGCGAGATGAGCACGCAGGGCAGCAGCAGGTTGCACACGTAGGCGGCGGCGCGGCGGCGCAGCAGCAGCGTGAAGGTCACGTCCGGGTAGGGCTCGGAGCAGCAGCCGTAGGTGAGCACGCGCCGCCGCGCCGGCATGCCCAGCACGCGCCACTCCACGTTCTCCACGAAGTCGGCCAGGCTGGCGGCGGTGCCGCGCGGCCGCACGTCCAGCTGGTGCCCGCCGTGCGTCCACGAGCCGAACGTCAGGCCGCAGCGCTGCGCGTCGAACGGGAAGGCCGACACGTCCACGCGGCATGAGCTGCGCGTGATGGCCGGCGCGTCCCAGCGTACCTCGCCGTCGTGCCGCAGAACCACGTTGGTGCTGGCCGAGGCCGGTGGCTGTGCGTCAGCCCTGTGGGCGGGCAGGGTCGGGCTCCCTGAGGAGGCTGCGCAGAGGCTGACCCCAGTAGGAGCTCTATGATCCCTGGGGCCCTGTGGTTACCAGGGGGCGCCCGGGGAGGGGGGGTTGGAGGGGGCGCGAGAGAGGGCTCTGTATGCCTTTGGAGGCTTAGAAGGGGTGGCATCTTGCAGGCCCTAAAAGGAGGAGACACAGATCTAGGCAGAGTGAAAACACATCTGCAAAAGTTGGCACCTGGCTGCAACGTGTTATCTGCAAATCTCCTAGAGGGGCCCCTGGGGAAAATATGCAGAGCCATATGTTGTCTGGGAAACACAACTGGTTTAGGTGGCATAAAGGAATGCCCCAGAGGGTTAGGCCCTAGAGGAAGTCCGTAGGTAGGTCATAGGGGACTCCTGGAGCGGGCCTGGAGGGTGGAGTATGCCATCAAGAGGCACTTGTACCCCAGAACCCTCTCTGTGAGAGATACAGAACTGGCCCTAGAGCACACAGTGGGTTCCCAGGAGACATTCAGCCTGGTTTGGCTTGGGGGAGTCTAAATGGGGGGTGTCATGGAGGGGCTGGCAGCTTTGAAGGGTCCTGGGGGAAAGGCTTCCAGGGGGCATAGCAACCAAGTTAGGTTGTGGCGATGGGGAATCCATGCAAACCTAGAGCCAAGGGCAACAGTAGGGAGGGGATGAGGAGGGGAGGGAGGGTCCCAGGCAGGCAGTACTTGTTATAGAGTACGATGTCTGGCCGCCACACGAGACTGCTGGGGATGCGGATAGCATCCAGGCCACCATAGGCATCAGGGTCCCATCGTAGGTAGGCATCTGTCCACTCTTGTCGAATCCACAGGTACAGGGTCAGCACCTGGTTGCGCTCATCCTAGTGGGGGCCAGGGAGTGGGCACAGATGTGGACACACATATATGCACACCCTCCCCTGTGTGTACACTCACCTACAGAGCTCTGGACGGTACCCACAAAACCAGCTGACTCACAGACCAGTTACTACCCATGCCTGACCTTGCTATGTGACCTTGGCAGTTTTCCTCTCTCCTTTAGGTCTCAGTTTCCTCAGAAGTTACATGGGTGATAATCTCTGCTAGGCAGGAATCCAAGTGTGCAAAGTGGTAGGCACACTGTGGGCACCCAGAAGTTAGTATCCAACAGTTAGTAGCTGTTATTACTGTTAATATTAATGTTTACACATAAGAATTGTTTGGAGAATAATTCCATTCTCTCACTCTCCCCCCACCCCCATTCCTTGACACTGCCACAGGCATGCTCCACGGGTGTACTACCACCACAACACACCATATCAATGATCTGGGACAATGTCACCTCCAGGGTCACGTTCAGAGCCTGGTCTGTGTCTGCCACAGGTCTCAGGGCACTTGTGTAGTTGGCGAAGAGGTCACGGAACAGCTTGTGAGCCAGCCTGCCCTCAGCTCCCAAGCACTCTGGGGGACCAGGAAAAAGGGTTGTCCATCTGAGACCCTTGTCCAGGGGCCCTCTGCTCACACCCTCCATCTCCACAAGGGTGGAGCCTTTCACCTGCTATGCTATCTCCTGGTCATCTGACTGGCCCTCCTGATGTCTGCTCTGTCCATCTAGCTGTGGTTCTAGTTCCTCCCTGGACTGCCTTTAGGAGTAAGTGAGGTGAAGGCTGAAGACTGAATTGGTACTATCTTCTGGAGCAAGGCTGACTGGTTTCTTTTCCACCCTTTCCCTTCCTAAAGACCCGGATTCTGCTTGCCCTACTGAAAATGCTACGGGGGCCCAAAGAGGCAACAAGAGTCTTGTCTCTCACCCAGGTGTTGTGAACCCCATTACTCTGCCCCCTCCAGTTTCTCAAACCTGTCTCCACATATCCAGCTGCACTTCTGTGGATTTCTTCAAAGTTTCTGATGCTATGGGCCGTCTCTCCTTCTGCAAATCCTCTCTTCTCTAGACTTTTGTGACATACCACATTGTCTT